AGGCTAGCATGTAATGTTTCTTTTCAAAAACTAAACAAGTGCATATTAATGCTGATTTCAGAAAGTGTTTTTTTCTTCTCAACTTCCTCCTTCGGTTCTACGATTTTCAAGATTTGAAACGGGAATATAAATAATGGAGGATTGTTATTCTGTGAAAGAATGTTTGCTATTAAGTGAAAAACAGTTTATGTTAGTTTTATCTTTGGCATTGGATATACAAACCTGGTGTTCCGGGCCAAAACCTTACAACATGAAGACCATTATAAATGAGAAAATCTACATGCACTCTATGGGAAGTTTACACTTGATCTATTAGAGTTTGGTTTTGTGCCTTTATTTAAATCGCGTTTGAATGTGTTCTAAGAGCACAGATACGCATACGTAACACGAGTTGCCATGTGTATCCGCTAGGGGGCAGAACATTAACAAATGATGGTCCATTCAAGATGAGACACTACTAGGTGAACTTGAACTTGAGCGAAGCCTTCTCTCGTTTATTAAGTGTACCCACACATCTCCCGTTCAATATACATTTACAGTGTTTTTTATGAAAACATTGGTTTAGAGGACATGTGGGTCAATGACAAACCATGTCAGAGATGATAAAAAGGAGAAATCTGTTTAAGATCTAGTTTTAAACACATGTGCCATGCTCTTAGATATGTGATCTTTGTATTCATGTTGATTAAAAAAAATGGTTTAAAATGCTAAGAAAGTAGCAATTAAACTACCTTCCCAGTATACACAAGGGTATACCATTTTTTTTAAAAATATATATATTTTACATATTCAGATTAAAAAACTGATGTCGTTGACCCATATGTATTTTTGGTAATTGTGTTTATCATGTTGAAAAAAGTATAAAATATTAAATCATTTGAAAAAAATGGTTTAACAGTGGTAGTGATTTTGATGTTTTATTTTCCAAATGTTATGTTTGCAAAATCTCCTGATGCTTCATAAGAGGTTTGAATTACACCTGTTTGTCCAGTGCACGGTCTGATCTGAGGCTTTGTTCCAGTTCATAATGATAACACAGAACTGTGCATCTTCCAAGCACGGCTTGAAAGAAGAAGAAAAAGCTGTAAAGGAGGCTTGATTAAAATACTGGAGCATGTTTTTAGTCTTCGTAAGAAACTCATGTATTGTCGCCCCCACCTTTTGTCCCACATGACCTGACAGAATTAGGGTTAACCTACCACCGATGGCAACAATCGCCCTCAGCCCAGTTCAGACGCATGATGTGGTTTTGATTGCTCTTTCATATGTTCTGGCTGTCCTTCTGGGAACTACCCCACATACTCCCCTCAATAGCTAACCTCAGTTCAGAGGATTCCAGCACTTTTAACTAAATGGGTTCCAATCATCTTGAAGTCAAATTAGAATCTATTTTTTGACTCTCTGAGGTGTTGGGTTCATTAAGACGTGAGATTGGCAGGATAATGAACAGGGTCATGCAACTAAAGCGAGCAACCCCCTCCTCTTTACCATTACTGGGCAACCACTGTTTTTCTCTCTGTCTTTGGTTTCTCATCTTCTCTGCGTCGGCCTTACATTGACTGTCAGTATTCCTCTGATAGAAGTGTCAGCATTTCAATAATAGATAGATATCGGGAACATTAGCAAAGCGTTTTTTCTACCCAACTAAAACTGTAAAATCAGTCGATATGACATATAACAACTCTAACACTAAATTTCAACACCTCTTCCATTTATATGGAAATGAATATAATGACCACTTATGGTACATATATAATTAGCACTTATCAAGTCATTAACAGGTTTCAGTATGGATATTACAGGAAGTTGTTCTTCTATCTCTCACACCTCCCTTTCTGCATTTCTCCTACCATAGCCGAGCCCGTGACGGCAGATATCCCAGAGGACGGAAAAAGCCATCCCGGATCGGAACCATCCACCCCTAAAGGGGATCAGGACCTCCTCACCTGTGGTCAGTGCCGCTCCAGGTTTTCTTTGGCTGACATCCTGGTGTTCATCGAGCACAAACGCAGGCAGTGTCAAGGCCGCCTATGCACGGGCAAAGATTCAGACCTGCCACCGTCGCCTCCACCCGCAGGCCTGCGACGAGCCTGCGTCCCAGTGGAGGTGGCAGTTCAAGTTTCGCCCCATGGAGAGGAGCATTTAGCCTCCACGCCGCATGGATTACGGCCCAAGCAGGAGAATTTAACAGGTAGAGTACCAGATGTTTGGGTTGGAGAAAATCTATGAGAGAGTTTGCAAAGTCGAAACTTCTAATTGGAAGGCCTTGGACGGATAACACGTTTCTACCATGGTTTTACAGCTTTCCCACTTTCCAAGTTTGGTCCGTTTCAGGAAAAAAAAAAAAGTACTTGACTTTATAGTAGATGAAAATAGTGTTCTTGCTGTCAGTATGAATGGACATTCTCTCAGTTCTCTCATGTGGCTTTCGCAGATGTTGCTGCGTTTAGTGTGGTTTTCACAAGGTCATATCTCACTCCAGTAAATGTATAGCTGCAGA